CCCCAAAACCCCAAAACCCCAAAACCCCTTTTAATAAAGCTTTTTTTGAAGATTTAATAAGTTTTTGATCTTTTAAATGGATTCCTTTAGTGTTGATACTGTCGATGATCTCATCACTGAGTGGTACTCTAATAAATTTGATGAACTTGGAACTATCAATTTTGAGTTTGGTGAAATTACTAAGGATTTACATCAAAATACATTCACTTTTGGCTTTAAGGTTGGCAAGAACTCCTTCCTGTTTGTCTACGACCAGACCTTTGTATTCCAAATAGTAGAGATGGAGGAGGATACAGATATGGAACTTATTTACAGACTAAATCAGATAATTAAAAATTCAGGTGCAACAGTTTATGAGTGCCTTGATCACTTCCTCTCATCATTTAGAGACTTGAAGAATGAAAAACACAATAAACAATTTGACAGAGTCTGATATAGTTCAATGAAAGAAGGAGAAGAAGATGAAGAAGAAAATATCTCTGGATGGTCAGATGAAGAGGAAGAAGATGAATACAAAGAAGATTCTAATAACCCACACTTGAAGGAAGATCAAGACCATGAATCTAGCCAAGCATTGCTCTCAATAACCAATATTTTTAAACAAAATGTAACTATAAGCAGTGAACAAGCAATAAAGATTTTCTTAAGACTAAAGATCTTTGAGAACGCAAATGAACTAAAAAGACTTGTTGAAGAGAATAATATCGAAATCCTGGCTTCTTCGTTCAGAGTGCAGATCTTCGAGCCCTACTTGATGGTCAAGTTCACAGTTGATCTGAACTACCTGAGCACTCCTCATACTGTGTATGAGTCGCTTGGGTTCACGATGCAAGAGTTGGTTGAATCAGGGTAATTGGATACATTTTTGGGGCTCCTGAATACCTGATAGTTTTTGATGAAGCCAAACTACTATTATTTGAGGATGACCCATCAATTTACTCTAAAGACCTGACAGAGCTACTTAACCTTGGAGTCGTTAAAATAGAATTTGCACAGCAAAATAATGACGCAGGGAATGACAGATACATGTCTTATCTGCAAATGCTTCATACAAGTTTCTTTGAGTTAGAAGGAGAAGCTGGGGACACAGATGGATTCCAATCATGCGACAATGAGACCGTTAGTCTAGCTAAAGCTACACTTTTGGAAATGGGATTTGAAGACTCAGTTGCTGAAAAAGGATTAAGGAGAAATAGATACAATCTTCAGAATACAATCAACTATTTACTCATGATGAGGAACAAATGAGAAGAAGAGGTGAAGGAATATCAAGAAGATCTTGACATTGAGGATGTTGACCCTAAATTTATGCTCTTCAACAACGTCACTACTGAACAGCTTCTTAACAATTCTCTGCTCCATTACTTTAAGCATATTATTTGTTCTCTTGACAGTGTGCTTGAATACTGATGAATCTGAAGAGACAAGCTCTCGACCAAGTCCACCAAGATCAGATGTTGCAACAAAGGACTATGAGAGTTTTCTTTCGAAGAATCACAAGGTATCTACATCATTCCAGAGATCAAGAATGATTTGGCCACATTCTCTTTGGATTTGTCCATATTTTCTGAATGATTAATGTCAAACAAAGCAAACCAATGATTAAAACCCTTCCCTTCGTACTTTTTAAAAGCCATAAATTACAAAGTAAAAGAGGATACCTTTACAACATTTGAAAAGAAAGAGATTGAAGATATAAAGGAAAACAACAAAGATCTTAACCGGATGAGAAGCTTCTTCAAAATGCTTCCCGCTCCGGATAAGCTTATCAAAGATAGGCATAATGACTCAGATTTGGTAGAATTATTCAGTAAGCTTCCAAAGGTAGGCCATGAAAGCCTGGCTATCTACAAGCTTTTGCAATACCTGGTATGCACGAACAGAGTGAGCTTTAAGCAGCTCTCAGATGATGACAAACTTTCTGGAGTTGATGATTTTGATGAATACATTATTTACAATAATGAATCTAATGAGGAAGAAGCCTTCCAAGAAATGAAGCGGAAGAAAGATTCTGTATGGACTTTCCATGGAAGTAGCATGGAAAATTGGTATAGCATTCTCAGGAATGGTCCAAGGAACTTGTTTCATACGGAGATGATGGCGGATGAAGTTGACAGCGAAGATATTGTTTACTCATCAAGTGATTTTGCAACTGCATCCGGATATACCAGACCAAGGAATAATGAGTTTAGATTAGATGGTACTATCCCTAGTTGGGAACACTCCAAGGTAAAATCAAAGCGAATCGTTGGAGTACTTGAAATTATTAAGAACCCATCTTATGGAGGGAATAGAAACAACAATTCTTTACTAGCTGATTACAGTACTTTTGCTTGTCCTGATGACCACTGAATCATGCTGAGATACATCTGGGTATTCTCTCAGAACGATATGTATAAAGGAAGAGCTGCTAGGAACAACCTTACAACAAATGATATCCCTTTTGAAAGTCAATATTATTCGACTGTCAGAAAAATACAGGAGGAACAAATGAATCATAGAAAAGAAAGGCTATTAGAAGCCCATAAAAGAGCCAAAGAAAGATATGAGGAAGAGCTTGAGCTTAAAAAGAAGATTGATTTGCAAGTAAAAGAGCAACATGAGAACGATAAAGCAAAGGAGAAGGAGCAGCAGATTGATCAAAGGATCAACACTCTTGAAAGCAAAATGACTGGGAAAGGAAGTGCTATAGCTACTAATAGAATTCTGGAGGAATACAAATTCTTTCAGACATCCTCTGATATAAAAAATTTCGAGATAAAACTACCAAATGATAATTTCTATAAATGGGTTGTCTCCCTGGATATTCTGAAATTTGAATTGACACCAGAGCTGAAAGAAGACTTTGAGTGAATGAAACAACAAACGGGGAATGGCCCTGAGCTACAGTTTGAGATAGTGTATACCTCATCTTTCCCATTCGATCCTCCTTTTATCAGAGTTGTCAAACCAATATTTAAGGTCCACACTGGGCATGTGACTGTGGGCGGATCTTTGTGAATAGAAAGTTTAACTCCTTCTGGATGGTCTTCAGCAAGATCAATAGAAGGGATCTTTGTTGAAATCCTCAGCATTATCCTCCAAGGAGAAACCAGGATTGAGAAATCTAGTCTTGGACATACTTATTCGATCCAAGAAGCAAGAGCTGCTTTTGAGAGAGTAGCTAAACATCATGGCTGGCTTTAAATGTATGGGAATTTGTTTCAATAAAAGTTAAGATTTTTGGGGTTTTGGGGTTTTGGGGTTTTGGGGTTTTGGGGTTTTGGGG